TGTCCACTTACAATTGGTGAGATGTGTGATCTGTTAGACTCTATATTTTATTGAATTTTAATATTGAGATTCGAACAATACCATTGTAACTTGAATTGCGTTTAATTTCAATAAGATTCAACTGATTTAGAACTACACTTGCAATTTTAAGTCAATATTAAGGAATTTTGAATCTATTTCCTACACGATCGTGATTTAGTTGGTGAAACATTGCGAAACTTTAATTAAATTGTTGATCTCCTGAATACACGCACGTTGTTTCACATCAAAATGTGTTTTGTATAATATATACATCTTTGTGAAAATAATGTATTCTTGTTTATGGACTTAACAATCAATGTATACATCTTTTATTAAGTCTATAAAATCATTTTACAAAATTTCAAAACTTGAGTTATGTCAAAACATTAAATTTCAAGTTTGTCAAGTTTTCATGTTTTGGATATTTTTGTAAAATGAAGAGATTTCTCATTTGGGAGATGCAATTTGAAAAATTCTTTTTGTAATATGTTCATTATCATGTTTACAAGCATTCCCCAAAATTTTATATTTTTCTGAATTTATTTGCTATTTTTTAAAGATGTTTGAAAATCAGATTTTCTGTTTTAATCAGGCTGATATTGTGTTATCAGTCAACTGATGCAAGGGATCAGTCGACTGAAGAAATCGCCTGAAAAATGTAAATGTTTTTGTTTTTGCGACTGATGAACTATCAGTTGACTGATAAGTTTATCAGTCGACTGATAATGTCTTCAGTCGACCGATGAGCTGCTAGTTGCCTGCAACGGTCAGCTCATCAGTCGACTGATACTGTTCATCAGTCGACCGACGACCTTCCAACGGCTAATTTTTCAGTTTTCGTTATTTTATCTTTTTGCTTGGTTTTTCTTGATTTTTGGGCTTTGTCTTATGATCCTATATATACCCTTTGCCCTCTAACATTCTGAAGTAATCAAGAAGTGTTTAAAAATAAGTTTACAAGAGTTTAAGATTTGTTTAAAGTGTGTTTTAGTGTTTGTTTAGTTTGTGAAGAAATTTTTACAAGAGCTAGAAGAGATCATACTTTGGTATTTGAGCTTCATCTCATCTCTCTCTTGTTTATTCATTGGAAAAAATTTCTAAACTCAAACTCTAGCTTTACATTTATATACTTGTATGATTATCATTGTTATTAAGCTAGATTTCATATTTGAGTTTAGTTTTGATTTCACTCTTTGTTACACACACCCACTTGAGCTTTTAGTATTTTCATACATGGTATATTTAGGGTTGTGAGAGATTGTAACATGGAGTTGAGCTTAATTGTGTTCTCATCCATTTTAGAGAACAACCATTTGTTGTAGAGAGCCTAATTGTGAGGATACACTTTGTAATATACTTGTACACCGAAAGAAGTGTGTGGTGAGAGACGGAGTCGTCCCAAGAGGAGTGACGTCGGTAGTAAAGCCTAGGGAGAGGTTGTAAATCCGAGCACTTGAGGGAGACACGGGCTAGAGACCAAAGAGGTTGTAAATCCGAGCACTTGAGGGAGACACGGGCTAGAGACCAACACTTAGAGGGTGTAGAGTGAGATTGCAAGAGTGTTGAGGGAGACACGGGCTAGAGACCAACACTTAGAGGGTGTAGAGTGAGATTGCAAGAGTGTTGATTGTAAAATTTTCGGTGAGCTAGAAAACCGAGTGTGAGGTGTAAACGTTTTCGGGTGACCGTTGAAAACCCGGTGTGATAGTGGATTCTCCTCGGGAGTGGGGAGCGGAGACGTAAGTCGGAAGGACCGAACTCCGTGATCATTTGATTGTGTTTGAGTTTGCCTTGGCGTATTATTTATGTTCATCATTTATTTCATATCGCCATCGGTTCATGTTATTTTACCCTTGTGTTAGATTATATATCCTTGCATATATTTCACTATATATCTCATAGCTAAGATATTGCACTTTATTTATATTGCTCATTCTTGCTCATAACATTGTATATCTATCTTGCAAGAATATTTGTTAATAAGTTTTAATTTGCATTAAATCGGATTAGATTAACATAAATCCTATTCACCCCCCTCCCCCTCTAGGGTTCTTTCCTAGTGGCATTAGGGTCTAACACGTATTTCAAGGAATGTAGAATTATTTTAAAGAAAAAATTCGAAAGGAAGAAAAGTTGAGCAATATATCCAAAAATAGCCGGCGCTTTCTTATTGACACCATTTTACACAAGTGATACATTCCAAAATAACTCTATATCGCACATCCAAAATACAATGCAGCTACTTAGCGCCATTCATGCTTGGGATATCTAATTTGCTTCTCATTGGCAAACCTTCAATACCTACAAACTACAAAGAATGGGGAAACTATTCTTGTAATGTCAAGAAAACCACATTTGCCATTTCATACGAGAAAATAGTAAGATTGAAAATGAACCAGCCATCTAAAAGAAGACCATCTTAAGTATCAGCTAAAAACATGGAAACCCTCAAAAAGCAATTTGCTATCTGACATGACTAATCCTTATTTATTTATTTATAGAGAAGTCAAATAACAAAGAAGATTTGTATCACACATAAAGCCTAATATTAAGAGAGTGAAATAGAGATTTTAGGAACTAGTATAAAAATTTTGCTCAGTTTTGTCTCTCACATAAAGACTGATGTTGTAGTCTTGTCTAATATGACTATACAGGTTACATATATCACCTTGCCATTTCTTCTCTTACTTATATCACCTTGCCGTTTCTTCTCAAGAAAACACACTACAAGAAACATATCTCTTCTTAAATTTCTATCTACTTTTCCAAACAATATTAAGATTCAAGCATAAGAATGACACGAAGCATGTTCATGGTCTGGTACATGTACATGCAAAAATTCTGTTCCTAAATACACTTGTGGACCAGAAATTATCTATTGTTGTCAGTGTGTATCTTTGCAATGTATTGAACATACTATACAAATAGGTCACTATCATTTATTCTGTACTTTCCCTTCTTCCATCGCCATAGGCATTATGCTTTGTGATTGAATTCTAGCTACATTCACCAAGATGAAGACCCTTGGTCTTAAGACCCTAATTATGAAACTCAAAACCAATATTAATATAAACTACATATCCCAAAAAAGAGTCCCAGGGAAAACACTCTAAGCTTATTCAATCCATGGTTTATACCTTGAGAACATATATGGATGAAACTCAGAGGTTCCACACTAACATACAAAAACAAATATTACCTGCACAAGAAGAGAGAACTAAAAGAAGGAAAAAACCATCCAGCAAAAATATCATGAACTACACAGAAAGCTAAATGTGAAAAGATTAGAAAAAGGCTATGCAATCTAAGGATGAAGGTAAGGATCATGAAGAAACACTAAGTGTGTTGCTTGGATCCTGGTAAGGGTCTCAGATCCAGCCATTGAGAGGGGTGTCAGTTTTCAAATGCTCAAAGTAAAGAAGCGATTTAAACAAAGTACTCAAGAGTCAATATATGCATAAAAACCATACGCATGCTAAACATATGTTAAGAAAATAGACTCGGATTGAATTTATTTTTGTAATAATGCCATAGTATGAGTATGTTGAATGCATGTCTAACAGAAGCAGTAGGTCCTCTCCCAAGATAAGGCCACATACGCCTCCATAGACATAATTGTAAACAAATAAAAAGAAAATACCTTACATTCTGAGATTCAATTTGCATGACATGGGAACAAAAGGAAAAAAATAAAATTTAAGCTTCTCTGGTATCTAATGAAATTCCAATAGACAAGACCTGGATATGGCCTAACACTCGCTGTCCATCCCAAATGAGATTTTACCCAGAGGTCCCATACAGAAATTGCTCCCCACGAGCATGACTAACTATGGACTTCTTTCAAAATTCCTCTCTGAAACAAATGCCACCTACAATTGATTCTTGAGTTCATAGGTTATATTCTACATAAAAGACCCTCCTAGATCGAACAACCTCTGCAGGCTATCAACTAAGGGTGCCACATGCTCTCTACCTATTTAGAAGATTGGCATCCTCGTCATGGTAACAGTTAACCTACTGATGTAGGAAAGAAATGGTTTAAATGGATTCTAGAGGTGGCTCATCATGCCTATGTCTGTCCTGGCTTTCTCCATGTAGCAATTACCTTAAAACATCACTTAGTTTGCACATTTCTGGATCATGCAAGGATCGGATAACATGTTTCAGATCCAGAGAAAGGAGTTTCCAGAAGGCCATTATCTTGAAACTGATACAGTTCAAGCACACTCAACTACTATGTTTTTCCATGATTCCATTTAAAAATGCTAACTGCTATGGTCTTAAGTTCATGGGACCAATATACATATCAGAGATCCTTCTACTGTGCACCCTCTATGGGTGTATTCACTTGGAGCGTGACACACATGACACATCAACAAATTCAGGAAACAGGTAAATAAACATGTTTATATATCCTGCTATCACTCACTACATTCTAATGAAATATCTCCTAAATGGCAAAGAATTGTGCTTAGTTAATACCAAAATGATATCAGAATTCACTCAGACCTCATTCAGACCCACGATTTCAGAATTGGATGAAAATGATTATAAAGGTATGCGAGGACTGTCACATTGTGATAAATTCACATTGCATTCCGTATGACTCCATAACAAGTGCTAAACAATCGAAGGAACCAGCTAATGTTTACACTTTTAGGATTATGTTAGACAATTAAGATGGAAGTGGTTACCTTCTACTCACGGTTCCCTTATCATGCAAAAATATTAGCTGTTTTTTTATTATTAATTAGCACTATTTGTATCAATATTCATCCTTCCAGCTCATTTAGGCACTCAGGAAATAAGCAAATTTAGCACATCCGAGTACTGGTCACTAGTTTCTAAAAGAATATCTAATCTAATAATGGTAATAAGTAATAACTATACTTTGATAATATCAATGATATCAAAAAGCGAAACTGGGTATGAACATATGCAAGATACATGAACCATAATACCAAAGTACAAGTATGTACCATATATGTCTGTCTGAATACAGGTAGGTATGCGAGATCCTCGGACTTGCCCCATGCCTCAATGAGTTGCATCGCTCTACGTCTGTTAGCATATAACATCTGTGGATTCTCTATCATCTTCACCATCTCATCTAAAACCTTCTCAGATGCCACCTCAGAAAACACCTTATCACAGTTCATCGCACAAGTCTCCAAGAGATCGAGGCTCAGCCGCTGACTCACATCATTACTGCTAGAGATCTTCTTCTTGATTGCCCTAACAACTTCCATCCCATCAAACTCTTCACTGTTAAGCAAGTTACAGATCCTCAGGTTCAAACCCCAGTTTGGCTCTTCCAAGCTATCTGCCGTAGCTTCATCCACCATTTTTGCCTCCTGTGATGGCCCTTGAAGAATTTCCTTCATTTTCCCACTAACTTTTTTCCCAATTTCAGCTCCTCCGGTTTTCAATCGCTCGCCTCCGATCTTCAGTCGCTCTCCCAGTGCTGCTAATTTCATTTTATCCATTTTGGGCAGATGACTCGGTAAGGGATTAAGTAACACACACAACTTCAGCAATCTATAAAAAATGAAAATTTGAATATATTCGTGAGATGTTACTTCCTAAAAAGTTCGAGCTTTTAGCATGTGACGAACAATTTATAACAGGCGAAGTTGACAATTTTTTTGGAAAAAAATGAAAATTTTAACCCTATATATAATTCCAGCGAATATAATTTGCAAATAGTTCTTCCCCAAAAACTTTAGATGGTCACTTTACCCTAAACCTTGCACTTAGATCCTCATCTTACCAAAACTTAGAGCTTTAGCTTCTCTGTCCACAAATAAGCAATTTTGACAATATTTTAGGGGAAAAAAGCACAAATTCAACAAGTAAAATAATACCATACACAATTCAGTTTTGTTGCGATCCAAAGCAGAAACCCTAATTACAAAAAGCCCAACTTCAATGAATCCCTAATTTGAAAGATATGCAAACTATAAAAATATAAGAATTTAAGGGAAAAGAGAGCGAACCTCAGAAACTGAGAGTGATTTGGGTTCTCGGTAGCGCGCTGTGATTTCTATAAGAAAGAACTAGTCCTGATAACTTAGCAGAAGCTGACGCTTGGTAGAAGCCCTTGCATCTTTTGTAATTTGCACTCGTTTGTCAGGGAGGGGAATCTCCATAGAGCAATTGGCACGTAGCAGCAGAATCCTACTAGAGTTTGTGCAATTCTTTTTTTTTTTTTTTTCCTTCTCTTTTTCTTTTTGTGGAAGGGTTTTATTGCGATTCGCTATTTGCACGATGAGTGCGTCTACATGATGACTACATCTTCCAACATTAATGCCCGTGTGCGTCTATGCTATTCAGGGTGGGCATGGGAGCGGTTCAAAACCGTGGGCTGACCGGCACATCAGGTTTTGGTCTCAACCCGGCCCGCCCCACAGCGAGCCTAACCGAACTCATAGTAGTGACGGTTCATGGGTTGGGGCTGGGTTTTGATCTAGACCCGAGGTCAAAGAAGTGGGTCAGACTCACCCCACCCCGTGCATCCAGAGTTTAATTATAAATATTTATTTTGTTTAGTAAAAAATAATAGATCTCACACAGTCAAGTATTCCTTCAAAGTCCGAATTGACTATATTTTTATGTTTGCGATGTCTTTTCTGTGTGATGTATATGTGTATGTTTTTTTTAATAAAGAGTTTGAAATAGGAAAAAAAATAAAGTAAATATAATTTTACAAATACAAATGCAAAGTTAATATAGTTTAGAAATAAAAAAATATAAAAAGATCTAAAAACTCATGGTAACTCATAAGTGGACCCATGGGTTGTGGGCCCAACCCAACCCGGCCTGGCCCGCTTCTAGGTGGGTCATGGGTCAGGCTGGGTCTAGTACCAGACCCAGGATCAGAGAAGCAGGTCATGCCCATTCTGACCTGCGCGAGCTCGGATTAGACCCGGTGTGGCCTTGAACCCTAGGACTGGGTCACGGGCCTGAACCGGCCCGACCCCCGCCCACCCCTACGTATATTTTGTATATTTCAGTCTTCACATATTAATTATTAACTATAGTTCAATTGAGCAATAACGATAACAACATACCAAACCCACCATGCAAACTAATTTTTAAATTATATTACGAAACTGAAAAATCACTTCCAGAGGATTTCTTATGTTCGACCTTAGCACCATAAAGCAAATAAAAGTTCAAGAAAATCTCAAATTATGCATTCAATTCATCACCATCATATCAACAACATAAAATCCAATATAAAAAATCTAAGTTCAAAAATAGTTTCGAGTTATACCTTACTGTGTAAAATCGTTGATCCGCAAAAGTTGATAAAAAAACCCAATAGATCCGAGCAAGATTAATAACCAAAAACACCAAAAGTGCAAATCAAATACCGACAACCCCTAAATAGATCAAATACGAACAAATAGTGGAGTTCCAAACAATATCAACAACCGAAAACCCAACAATGTTCCATCATCATAACCGAATCCATTACCAAAACCATGAATGAGTTAGGTTAAGGGGCGGATTAAGAAGCCATCGAAGTGAAATGGGGGCGGGAGCAACAACGGGGTGCGAAAAGTTCCAGGGGGGAAGATAATTGGGGGCGGAAGCCACAACGGGACGCGAAAATTTTGAGGGGGATAGGAATTGGGGGAAGGAGTGAGAACGAGAGGGTTGAGAAAACCCTAAGCACAATTTTTGCTCTCAAATGCTCACGGGAAAATCAAATGGGGATGTGAATTAGGGTATGGGTTAGTTATATTATTTTTTTAATAGCAATTGTTAGATTTCTCACCAATTTAAGCCCATTTTCATAGGAAATTGATTTCTATAAAATGGGGGTCCTTTTCCCTAATTAATAAAAAATATTTCTATAAAATTTTTTTGAACCAAACATAGTTTATAGAATATCCTCATGACTGTAGCAACTTGCATAATGTTACTAACTTAGAGCTTTTTTTTCGCTACAACTTATAACTAAGGGTATTTAAGTGCTACAGAAGTGAAAATATAGGATATGTGAGTCCTTCTTTTATAAGATGAGATACATTTATGTCATAAAATAGTATAGCTTATCTATACTACTTATAAAAGAGAATGCTCATATCAGAACTTTTGATTTCTTTTTTTACCCTTTCATTTTGTTGATAGTTTATATGATCACACAGTCAGTTGGATCCAAGATAGGATCGATTTGTTCAGTATTGAAGAGGGATTGCTTTCTTCTCTGACTTTATGTTTGTTTTTTGAGTTGGGTATCTGAGGAATCTAAATTCGTGAGAGGGTAGGGATTGGTTCTCCCGTTGTACCTCCAACGATCAAGTTAGTTGATGAACTTGAATGGGGTTAAGAAAGAACTGTGTGTTCTTGTAATTGTGCAATATATGCATTTGAGGATCAAATTTGTGAACCCCTTTGATGTTAAAATGGTATATGTATTTATACTCAGTACATAAGTGATAGATTAGTCACTTCCGCCGAGCACAAAAGAGTGATGACAAAGTGTGGGTTGGCAGCTGAGTCAGTCTCTCCTTTACAGGTGTCGGTTGGCGACTGGAGGGAGGATCTCCTCAGGATTAAATGAGAAGTGAGAGGGAGTATGTCGGTGGCCCACATAGTCCGATGAGTCATAAAGACTATTGGGGTTAGAGGTATGATGATGCCTGCTAAGCATTAAATATGATGTGGACACGTTGTCAGCAATGATAAGTTCGAAGCAGAAGTTATCCTTTAGCTTCATCGAGAAGTAACGACTTTCGAGTCGTCCTCATGAGGCGTTAGTCGAATGGCCGAGTAGACTCCTAGTGAGTCGTCTTCGACAAGAAGGTCGACTAATACCGCTTTTTCAGTCGACATGAAGGAATATCGACTAGTCCAGTCGGCTAAGTCGGACTCTCTATTGGGATCGGGCCACCAAGTTGATTGGGGCGTTGATTGCGGAAATACATCTGTCCGTTACCTGTCAATAAATTGTATTTCGATGAGTGGGAACACCATAACACATTTTTTATAACTCACAGTTGTACCATTTTTATAAAAGTAATGATCTATAACATCTCATTAACTATGCACCTCTTCATTGTCTCAAAATATTTAGTCATTCACTAGCATATATTAATAATTTATAATGATAATAAACTTCATAAATATCTATAATTTACTATAAAGAATTATTAATTATATAAAGTAGTAAAATTATTTATTTAATAAATTATTGTACATAATTATAATTATTAATAATAGTATAAATAAGGATTGATTCTTTATGCTGTAAAGAATATGATCTTGTTCAATAATTAATATCGTTTTAGTATTAGATCCTTAAAATTTATGCGACATATACTTTTCTCTTCATTTTCCCAAAATATTTGTTCATTCACTATAATATATTAATAATTTATAATGATAATAAAATTCATAAATATATTATTATTTATTATAAAAAATTATTAATTATAATGAAAATTATTGTACATGATTAATTATTAATAACACTATAATGAAATATTATAATGATTGATTCTTTATATTGTAAGAAATATTACCTTGTTTGACATTATAATATCGTCTTAGTAATAAACAACTGGATATTATAAATTAAAAATATGTTTATTTAGGAAAATTATTTTATATAAAAATATTGGATCCTTAAAATGTATGAGACACTCACTTTTTGTTGAAAAGTAAATGTCTCATAAATTTCAAGGATCTAATATTTTAATATGAAGTATTTTTCATAAATTTTAATTATAAAATCTAGTTTTTTATTATTTAGACAATGTTAATTATCAAACAAGATAACATTCTTTACAACATAAAGTCATATAATATAATTACGACCCAAAAATCACTAAGTATTAATATTCATTAAGACGCTGGCACGTGCCCCTGCACGTAATCAAACAAATCCCTAACCGAGACGACTCAAGCCATTTTCGCAGCCGATTTGATCGGTCGACAACTTGTGCAGCTGAATCAAAAGGCGGTACTTGTCAGCTAATCCATCAGATCGACTCGTACTTAGCCTACTGATCAGCTAACAACTCGCGCAACAGAGTCAAAAAGAGGTTCTAGTTGGCCCTTGACCAAACAAATAGAGAAATGATAATTATCTCAAAACACTCGCTAACCGACTACCCCTGCATTAACTGCTCTGACAAATCATCATTACTCTAGCCCCTATAGTCATATGACTCATCGGACCCAATCAGCGCTAATCACCTACTGTTGTTCTCTTATTATATGACCAGATGAATCACCTTATTCCATGACCGACACATGGAAGATGATTACCGACTCATCTGCCTAGCTGGACCCAACCCAAGTTACCTCTTTGTCCTTCCAATCCAATATAAAACAGAGCAGCATTTTTTCAGGCAATTTTGAATTACTCTATCTCTATATTTCCCACTCAAGATCAATTACTAACTTGATCATTGAAGGAATAACCGGAGATCCCAACTCCGCCCTCTTATGAGCTCGTTATTTGCAGGGAAGAACAGTAAATCCCAGAACCTACCATCTGAAGGAGTTTGAGGACCTAACACTCTCATAATCCTCACATAAACCCCTTGTTTAATAACTGACATTAATAGTTTGGTGCCCATCATAGGGCCTTACTTCAACCACGATGTCTAGTTTTGAGCACCCTAGTAGGCATGTCCACCCAGTCCCTAAAGAACCACGTGCGAACTACGTTACTCAAGCCCAGGTGGAGAATCCGCTAAGCGGATCTCTCTATCTTTCTAGCAGCAGTTTGTGGCTTTCACTAATAAACTTCTCAATCGAATTCATCCCCAACAACTTCCCTCATCACTAGCTCCACCACTTTTAGCAAGCCAACCCTTGGCCGCTCCTCCACCACCGGTGGGGCAGCCGTTGGTCCCTCCAATGCCTACGTATGTCACGCTCATCATAGAGACTATGTTGAGTACATGTCTCCTCAGCCGCACCAGCAAGCTCGCTTTGCGGATCCTCACCGGCATTATCCGTAGTTTGTAGAAGCCACAGGAGAGAGTCCTAGTCCTGGTCGTGATGACCGAAGACACGCCGTTGGAGGAATATCACAAGGCCCTAGGCAACATCATGCCTCTCCAAGCCCGTCAACCACAAATGTGACATCATGAATGCCTCTTGTGAGAAATTTAATACACCTCTGGTAGAGAAGTACAAGGGTGAAGGAGATCCAACTGAGCATGTCCATAACTACTATGACATGATGACCATGTTGTAACTGTCAAAGGCAATCATTTGTAGGTACTTTCCCATCACTTTGATAGGAAGCACTAAACTATGGT